ACACATCAAAAGTATACGTACAGATAAAATAGGTATAATACCGAATAAATGACTTGTTAGTAAACTTGTTCCTCAAAAGGAATTTTAACTATTTTGATAATATTGTGTATTGTCTTGACCATCAAATATAGTTAGTAGTGGGAGTGGCCAAAGAAGAATTTCCACAAACAGTTTCATAATAAATTATATATTGTGTATACTTTGTAAAGGCAACGTAACAATTAAGGCTCGTAGTTCTTATATTGGTTGTAAAGTCAATTGTGTATGTTGGATCTTTAAGTTTTTTTTTCTTGCTTTATACCTTACCTTATGGTGGGAGAAGCTTTTATTTGTTGAGTGTTCTGTTTACTGTGTTGATAATTGAGAATACATTGTGGTAATTATATTCTTTTACCTCCCAACTAACAGTGTGTCTTCGTTGGATTTAGTCTCTAAGTGGATGAGTGAAAATGAAAAGCAAGTATCAAACCTTTTTGAGATGGCCCATCATAATCAAGGCATTTTCTGTGGCAACTACACATCAAAGATATACGCAGAGAAAATAGTATAATACCGAATAAATGACTTGTTAGTAAACTTGTTTCTGAGAAGCAATTTTAACTATTTTGATAATACTATGTATTGTCTTGACCATCAAATATAGTTAGTAGTAGGAGTGGCCAAAGAAGAATTTCCACAAACAATTTGTATAATGGTTGGCTGATTTCCAGGGTCAAAAGATAGTGATGGTTCGGGTTACTGATAACAATGACCCTTGGTTGAAGCATACACTATGTCTCACTCAAGAACTCTCTAATTCCTTGGCTTTAGATTCAAAGGAATGAAATGTAGTTTTAAACTTGCCTAAATTAAAAGAATTATCAAAGTATACTTAGTATATTATCTGTTATAATTAAATATTAAGGCCATGTATTATTATAAGCTAGATTAAAATATAAGAGTAAACAATAGCCAAATTTTAAATGGCTTAAAATATATAGTATGACACAATTAGTTCAATATCCCTTACACTAACCAAAGATCCATATACATCTTACCCAATTAGAAATATATTTCAACATTAGTAAATTAATAACTCATTTTCACTGGATTACTTTTGTATTTCGATTTATGTATAGAAACATAAATAACTCCCTTAACATACCATATCGATTTTTTTGAATAATGTGATTTTAGGATGCTGGTTTTTTTGCTTGAGGTAGTTGTGGTTTCTGTAGTGTTTATATAGTACTAAGCGCATTGATTACAAAGATTTTCATTATAAATTAGCTAATATGCGCAAGTTAATGTAGAAGAATTTTTCCGTAATCATTTGATAATTAGACATAACAAATTAGGAAACTATATGTTCCTATGCTATCAATACCTAGCCTGTTTGCAATCCCCTATATATATTAATTGAGAAACATTTGAAAAATTGTAACCTCAATTTTGTAATAATTAAAAAAGAGCACATGCTTACGTGTCACTCAATTAGATAGTCAATTACATTCAATTAAAAAATAAGTAGGTTCACATTCGATTTTTATATGTCGCTAGATGTATTTGTTGGTCAAACTATATGATATGATATTTATGATAGAAACATTTATGATTATCCTGCTAGATATAATTACTATTTTATTTTCTTTCCTTAAATAAAAGCTACGGAATTACCATAAATGACAAATATATATATATATATGACAATTAATGTTTCTAATAATAAATACTAGGATAAGAACCGCGCCTTGCGCGGGATTAAATTGTTATTTTTATTATGTTTTCAAAAATAAAACAATAGTTCGGTTCATTTGGATTAGGGGTGTTCAATCCGGATATCGGGTTTTAGTTCGATTTGATTTTTTGGTATTTTGTTTATTAAAATTTAACTACTATTTTAAATCCAATTTTCTTTATATACCATTTGTTTTCAGTTTATTCAGTTTTATACCAAAAAATATAATTATTTATTTTGAGATCATATTATATATTATACAAATATATAATATGAATATATTTAGTGTCATATTGTCAAAAAGTCATTTATTAAAAAAAATATTATATATTTAAATAAAAGAACAAAAAGACTTCTATCATCTAATAAAATGATGAAATCTGGAATTAATATCAAAATTCTAAATTTTGAAAATAAAAATAAAAAACAAAACAGAATGAGAGAAATTTTTTTATATTCTTCCATATTTAGTGTTCATCAAATTAATATGTCTTCGATTGAACACAGCTCTGTTTGTTTAAAGATAAAAAAAAAAGTTGTAAAAAATTTCAACTAATTTTTGTCCATCAAATTTATAATCTTTACTTCGATTTAATTATTGTTAAAATAAAGCAAAAAGATCAAAAAAATTAAAAAAATAAGAAGCCTCAGTTGCAGTAAACTGTTAGTTAATTATAGTTCAAGTGATTCAAGTGATTTACAAATTGTAATTATAGTTCAACTCATATAACAAATAGATATTCATGCGGCGTTATAAATATATACATATTTATATGTTTCAGTTTAATTGGTTATAAATTAAACCATATCTAATTCCTACAGTTTTTATAAAATCACATCCATTCGGTTAGTATGATATATACCAAAAAAACATATTATGGATTGTTTAATATTTGTAATAATATAAAATTAGAAAAAAAAAGAGCTAAGATATTTAATTCATTGATAACCAAAAAATTTCAGTGTGAAAAATTAAATAAGTTTATAATTTATAAATGTTCTTGAAAATTCATTGAAATTTTTGAAATTAAAATATTTATGTAATCTTATATGGTATATAGTTTAATCTCTCTCTCTCTATATATATATATATATATATATATATATATATATATATATATATATATATTTGCTTTATTATTGAATGATACTTTTTACTCATATGGTTTAATGTGTATCTTTTTATAATAAAAATGTTAAACTATTGATCATTAATTTTTATCATAAGAATTTTCATAGTTTTAGTCATTTATTCTCGTTTTGTAAAATTTAAAATATAATATATACGAAAAATTTAAAGTTTAGTTTTATAGCTAATTTGATTGTTTAATTTATTTTAATAATATAAAATTAAAGAAAATATGATGGAGGAGACATAAATTGTTATCAAATATTTATTATTAGAATCATTAATTATCATATATATATTAGTCATTTATGGTAATTCCGTAGGTTTTATTTAAGGAAAGAAAATAAAATAGTAATTATATCTAAGGAAACAATCATAAATGCTTATATCGTAAATATCATATCATATCATCATATCATATAGTTAATTTGACCAACTAATATATCTAGCGACATATAAAAATCCAATGTGGACCTACTTAATTTTCAATTGAATGTAATTGACTACCTAATTGAGTGACACCTAAGCATGAGATCATTTTTGTAATTATTACAAAATTGAGGTTACAATTTTTCAAATGTTTCTCTTTTAATATATAGGAGATTTGATAACAATTTGTATCTCCTCCATCATTTTTCTTTAATTTTATATTATTAAAATAAATCAAACAATCAAATTAGCTATAAAATTAAACTTTAGATTTTTTTTCGTATATGTTATATTTTGAATTTAAAAAACCAAGAATAAATGACTAAAACTATTCAAATTATTATGTTAAAAATTAATGATCATTAGTTTAACATTTTTATTATAAAAAGA